AAACTAAATCAGCATTTATATCTGTTTTAAAAATGCTGTGTTAATCTAAATCAGCGTTAGTATGTGTTAAAAATGCTGTGTTAATCTATTCCTGTGTTAAAACTACGCCAGAGGGAGATTTAACAACGTTTAAGCTTAATCCTGTGTTAATGTTTACAAATCTCGTCTGAGGAGGCACCTGGAACACTTAAGGACTTACAGGTGTATGATGAGAGGAAATATTTACCTGGTTGTAGATAAACACAGGTGAGGGAGGCGTATAATGAGGCAGCCAGCGGCACCTTTAAAGATAGTGGCGTGTTTATGTGGCTCTCACACCTAGTGGCTCTTACTGCGTGATACTGGTAACTGATCTCTCAGATTGCTAATTAATACATGTATTTTAATTACTGCAACCACACACACACACACACACACACACATACAGTCATATAGGGGATTATTTAACATTCGATTATTGAGGGTGGGGATTTTGCCCGACTCACGTTAATGGGATTTCATTTGACAAATCCGGTCTGGTTGTGTGTTGGTCCTCATGGTCTCTAGTTTATCCGTTAATGTTATTTCCGATAAATCCTGTATTGCCAGGTTCTGTAAATCCATTGATGTTAAATGTTTCCGGTTATGTAAATCCCTTGGAATTAAATCCGTTAATAGTTTGCTCTTAATTGATGTTGATCTGATAATTCGCCTTATTGTTAACCTGATAAATCCTTCTGCTGTAAATCCTACAAATCCCTTACTGTTAACCGGAAAATTCACTTGATATTAATCGGGTAAATCCACCAAGTGATTAATCCTATAAATCCCTTTACTATCTATTCAGTATTCCCCTCACTGTTAAATCTGTAAATCCCCTCACTGTTAAATCCGTAAATCCCCTCACTGTTAAATCTGTAAATCCCCTCACTGTTAAATCTGTAAATGCCGTCACTGTTAAATCCGTAAATGCCCTCACTGTTAAATCCGTAAATCCTCTCGCTGTTAATCCGGTAATCCCTCCTACCTGCTGACACACCGGATTTGCATATCAGCTGACAACCGCTTTCAGGAGATCAAGTCCCCTCTCTTCACTCCGCTTCTCCCAGTAAAAACATCGCCACTGCAGGCAATCGGCATCGCCTGACGTTCGTTTTCCACCGAAAGTCGAACGTTTGCTCTCGCCTTCTGCCTCCACTGGCGATTGATGGGAAGTGGTGAGTCATTAGCAGTGAGTAGTCTGCCATTTAACTAAGAGGTAAGTAAGTGTATTATAATTGCCACTTAAGGGGTAATTAGTCATATAATCTGCCACTTAAGGGGTAATTAGTTATATAATCTGCCACTTAAGGGGTAATTAGTTATATAGTCTGCCACTTAAGGGGTAATTAGTCAGATAGTCTGCCACTTAAGGGGTAATTAGTTATATAGTCTGCCACTTAAGGGGTAATTAGTCATATAGTCTGCCACTTGATTCAGGGATTAAATTGTGGTAGGGAGGTATAGCGATGTTGGTAGGGGAGACTGATGATTGTGGTAGGTAGGGAAGGAGAGCGTGGTGGTGAGGGTGGTAGGGATGTGGTGGTGAGGGTGGTAGGGATGTGGTGGTAGGGATGTGGTGGCAATGGTGGTAGGGATGTGGTGGTAATGGTGGTAGGGATGTGGTGGTAATGGTGGTAGGGATGTGGTGGTAATGGTGGTAGGGATGTGGAATGTAGATGGGGGGGAAAGGAGGGAGGGTGAAGGGAAGGGGTGGATGAAGGAGGGAGGGAGGGAGAGGGCGGGTGAGGGGAGGGAGAAGAGGGGGGTTTGGGAGGGGTTGGGGTGAGAGGAGGGAGGGGTGGGTGAGGGAGAGGGGGGGTGGTGAGGAAGGAGGAACCAATTAGCGCGCATACTTTTCTGTCTCTCTTTCTCCTTTTTCACTCGTGATTTTTTATGCTCTCCTTCTTTTATGAATGTTTAGTTTTTCACTGACTAAAACACACACACACACACACACACACACACACACACACACACACACACACACACACACACACACACACACACCTCCTGCCACCTGCAGCCCCCCCACCCAACTCGCGCAGTCCACCACTACAACAAAATTCAGCCCATAAGAGCCTGCACCGATAGATATAAGAACAGCACCATTCCATCTATTGTTAAAATAATAAACAACTCCTGATTTATGTACTGTACAGCCCTGTAAATGTATTCAATGCATATTATATCATTATGTCTAAATCAAATGTAAGTCTGTATATTTTCAACCACCGGCTGCAACTCTATTAATAAACCGTTTATTATTATTATTATTATTAATATCACACACACACACACGCACACACATACACACACACACACACACACACACACACACACACACACACACACACACACAACTCACTTTGTTTACACCCACCTCTTATCAATCCACTAAATTCACCCACCTGCCCCCCTGCCCGCCACATTGGCTGATGGTGACTGTCCAAATAAACACACATTCATTTGACAGTCACAACCTCCCGGCGAGAATAATAGGATATACCGACCACACCATCTGGCACTGACCACACCATCTGCCACTGACCACACCATCTGCCACTGACCACACCATCTGCCACTGACCACACCACTGACAGTAACCACGTCATCTAGCACTACGAGCGTCAGTCTGTAGTGTACCTGTAATCTACCTATAGTCTACCTACAGTATAGTCAACCTGTAATCTACCTATAGTCTACCTCTAATCTACCTGTAGTCTGCCTGTGCCGTATAATGTGTTACTCAGTCTATGTAATTGAAATAGGAAAGGTCACGTATTATATTTTAATCGTGTCAGTTTAGCATATCTCATTTACATACTAAAGATCACAAAGGTTGACCTCTCCTACCTAGTTAGTTTATCTGCCGTGAATTACTAATTTAAATACTGTATATATGTATGTTTTTTGGTATATATGTTGAACCTTGTAGATAGACGGGGTATATAGGTAGATATATACATGTACGGGGCTTTTAGGTCACGTGTAGAAGGTAGCATATATACACGGTGTTGTAAGCGAGGTTAGGAGTTACTATGTATACTCTTAAGAACCAAGGTTTAGGGTGACACTGGGTGGCTGTGAGCGTGCGTGTTGCTGTCTGGGATTGTGAAGGAGAGGAGGGAGGGGGCATGTTCCTGGTGGGGCGTGGTGTCCTCAAGGGGCACTACCTTGTTGGTGGGGAGTTAGGCAATTTGTCAGGTTTATTGTGTCGTGGGGAGAGGATGGTTGGGGAGATGGGGAGAGCGTGATGGGAGATGGAGTGGGTGGCTGGGTAGATGGGGAGAGGATGACCTGGTGTAGTTTTCCATAAGGGACTCTTCATACTCGTTGGACGGAAAGACCCAGGCGGTGTTGAGTGCTCGTACTGGCGTTGTGTTTAATATAAATTATGAACTTGAGTTGTAAGTTGAGTAAGAGAGGAGTTAAAGAGCTGAAGGATCTTGGACTTGTTGACAGATGTAAGTTGGTTTATTGCTTCCGTGAACATGACTCACTCAGAAGCGGTCGACTGTTGCACTTTTATATTGAGTTGTAAGTTGCCTCAGGACCAGATCAACGTATTAACACCGAGAGACACAGACGACAAATTGCCCCCTGACAGTCGCTCCTTAATTCACGACGGACTTTTAAAACTCCTTCAGTATCAAGGGAACTTATTGGCAACAGGAGTGAGACTTTAACACAAGCTGTGGACAGTTTTACGAGGCCAACAACGCTACTTAACCCGCCAGTGTCAAGGGAAGACGCTAACAACTTTTTCCCAACTCATAAAGATGAACTTTTCTGGTCTTGTGGACGTTGAGGACCAAAGTGTGAGGCCAGCTGGTGGGGAGGTGAGGGCCCCGAGTGTGAGGTCAGCTGGTGAGGGGGACACATTGAGGACCCCGAGTGTGAAGCCAGCTGGTGGGGAAGTGAGGGCCCAGAGTGTGAGGTCAGCTGGTGGGGGGGACACATTCAGGACCCCGAGTGTAAAGCCAGCTGGTGGAGAGGTGAGGGCCCAGAGTGTGAGGCCAGCTGGGAGGGGACACATTGAGACCCTGAGTGTGATGCCAGCTGGTGGGGAGGTGAGGGCCCAGAGTGTGAGGTCAGCTGGTGAGGGGACACATTGAGGACCCTGAGTGTGAAGCCAGCTGGTGGGGAGGTTAGGCCCAGAGGTGATGCCAGCTGGTGGGGAGGGAGGGCCCAGAGTGTGAGGCCAGCTGTGGGTGTAACCCGAGTGTGAAGCCAGCTGGTGGTTAGCCCAGTGTGGGGGAGGTGAGGGCCCAGAGTGTGAGGTCAGCTGGTGAGGGCCCAGGGTGAGGCTGGTGGGGGAAGTGAGGGCCCCGAGTGTGAAGCCAGCTGGTGGGAGGTGAGGCCGAGTGGAAGCCGTGGGGACATTGAGGGCCCTGAGTGTGAAGCCAGCTGGTGGGAGGTGAGGGCCCAGAGTGAGGCCAGCTGGTGGGGAGGTGGAGGCCCGAGTGAGCGGTGGAGGGAGACATTGAGGGCCCTGAGTGTGAAGCTAGCTGGTGGGGAGGTGAGGGCCCCGAGGTGGCCAGCTGGTGGGGAGGTGAGGGCCCAGAGTGTGAGGTCAGCTGGTGAGGGGGACACATTGAGGACCCCTGGTGTGAAGCCAGCTGGTGGGGGAGGTGAGGGCCCAGAGGTGAGGTCAGCTGGTGGGGAGGTCAGACACAAGTACACGACGCACCTTCTCCAGGTTTACTGTCGTCGGTACATAACTTCCTGGTCACGTCTTTACTACTCCAGGTTAGGTGATTGGCTGTTGGGGGTGACTGTGACCTCTTACTGTGTGTTACTAATGTCTCTCTCTACCACATTATAGATAGGACTGTGGTAATGGAGACGAGGATTAAAAAGCAATTATTGTGCCATAGAAACATTAGGAATAGTGTTGGGAACTGTACAGTGGTGGACCTTGGAACTGTGCCACTGTGTAAGAGCTGTGGTATGTGTAGGAACTAAACACTGTATAAGAGCTAGTACTGTGTAGGAACTGTGCCATTGTGTAAGAGCTGTGGTACTGTGTAGGAACTGTGCCACTGTGTAAGAGCTGTGGCACTGTGTAGGAACTGCATGTAGAGCTGTGGTACTGTGAACTGTGCCACTGTGTAAGAGCTGTGGTACTGTGTAGGAACTGCCACTGTGTGAAGAGCTGTGGCACTGTGTGAGGAACTGTGCCACTGTAAGGGCTGTGGTACTGTGTAGGAACTGCATTGTAAGAGCTGTGGCACTGTGTAGGAACTGTGCCACTGTGTAAGAGCTGTGGTACTGTAGGAACTGTGCCACTGTGTAAGAGCTGTGGTACTGGTGAACTGCCACTGTGTAAGAGCTGTTGGTACTGTGTAGGAACTGTGCCACTGTGTAAGAGCTGTGGTACTGTGTAGGAACTGTGCCACTGTGTATGAGCTGTGGTACTGTGTAGGAACTGTGCCACTGTGTAAGAGCTGTGGTACTGTGTAGGAACTGTGCCACTGTGTAAGAGCTGTGGTACTGTGTAGGAACAGTGCCACTGTGTAAGAGCTGTGGTACTGTGTAGGAACAGTGCCATTGTGTAAGAGCTGTGGTACTGTGTAGGAACTGTGCCACTGTAAGAGCTGTGGTACGTAGAACAGTGCCATTGTATTGTGGTACTGTGTAGGAATGCCATTGTGTAAGAGCTGTGGTACTGTGTAGGAACTGTGCCACTGTGTAAGAGCTGTGGTCTGTGTGTGAACTGTGCCACTGTAAGAGCTGTGGTACTGTGTAGGAACTGTGCCACTGTGTAAGAGCTTGGTACTGTGTAGGAACTGTGCCACTGTGTAAGAGCTATGGTACTGTAGGAACAGTGACTTGTAAGAGCTGTGGTACTGTGTAGGAACAGTGCCATTGTGTAAGAGCTGTGGTACTGTGTAGGAACTGTGCCACTGTGTAAGAGCTGTGGTACTGTGTGAGGAACAGTACTGTAGAGCTGTGGTACTGTAGGAACAGTGCCATTGTGTAAGAGCTGTGGTACTGTGGGAACTGTGCCACTGTGTAAGAGCTGTGGTACTGTGTAGGAACAGTGCCACTGTGTAAGAGCTGTGGTACTGTGTAGGAACTGTGCCACTGTGTAAGAGCTGTGGTACTGTGTAGGAACAGTGCCATTGTGTAAGAGCTAGGTAGCTGTGGGAACAGTGCCATTGTGTAAGAGCTGTGGTACTGTGTAGGAACCGGCCACTGTGTAAGAGCTGTGGTACTGTGTAGGAACAGTGCCACTGTGTAAGAGCTGTGGTACTGTGTAGGAACTGTGCCACTGTGTGGAGCTGTGGTACTGTGTAGGAACTGTGCCACTGTGTAAGAGCTGTGGTACTGTGTAGGAACAGTGCCACTGTGTAAAGCTGTGGTACTGTGTAGGAACAGTGCCATTGTGTGAAGAGCTGTGCACGTGGTGTGCCACTGTGTAAGAGCTGTGGTACTTGTAGAACTGTGCCATTGTGTAAGAGCTGTGGTACTGTGTAGGAACTGTGCCACTGTGTAAGAGCTGTGGTACTGTGTGGAACTGTGCCACTGTAAGAGCTGTGGCATGTGTAGGAATGTTGTGAGCTGTGGTACTGTGTAGAACTGTGCCACTGTGTAAGAGCTGTGGTACTGTGTAGGAACTGTGCCACTGTGTAAGAGCTGTGGTACTGTGTAGAACAGTGCCATTGTGTAAGAGCTGTGTAGAACTGTGCCACTGTGTAAGAGCTGTGGTACTGTGTAGAACAGTGCCACTGTAAGAGCTGTGGTACTGTGTAGGAACTGTGCCACTGTGTAAGAGCTGTGGTACTGTGTAGAACTGTGCCACTGTGTAAGAGCTGTGGCACTGTGGGAACTGTGCCATTGTGTAAGAGCTGTGGCACTGTGTAGGAATGTGCCACTGTGTAAGAGCTGTGGCACTGTGAACTGAGCCACTGTGTAAGAGCTGTGGTACTGTGTAGGAACTGTGCCACTTAACTTCAGGAGGACCACTGAACGATACTGGACTTATAGGAACACTAAAGTCTCGAACTAGGAACAGTGCCGAATGGGATTGGGATTTATAGGGGTAGGAGGGATTTGATTCGGATTAGCGTATTCAGCGAATTAACAATGGTTGGTTAGAAATGGGATTAGTGCAGGGGGAATGGGGGAGGGGAGTGAGGGAATGGGGGTGAGAGAGGGGATGAGAGTGAGGGAGTGAGGGAGGAGGTGAGAATGAGGATCAGTGCCCGAGAGGAGTGTGGTGAGGGAGGGCAGGGAGAGAGTGAGGAGGGAATGGGTGAGGCCGTTGAGGGAGGAGGGAGAAAGGAAGGAAGGAAGGAAGGGCCGTCGAGGAGAGGAAGGAAGGAAGGAAGGGCCGTCGAGGAAGAGGAAGGAAGGAAGGAAGGGGCCCGAGGGAGGGAGGAAGGAAGGAAGGGATGGACAGCCGAGGGAGGGAGAAAGAAGGAAGAGAGGCAATAAGATACCCGAAGGTGGAGGAAGACTGGACCAAAACATCATGAATCTATCTGTTTGTTTGTTTGTCTCTCTACCGTCTCTCTCCCATAAAATAGACAGCACCCTGAGCCCTGTCTGTCTGTCTGCTGCCCCCATGACAGGCCACACCCATGACAGGCCACACTCCTTTCACCTGCCTTCCATCACAGACAGTAGTTATCCACATCATTATACTGATGGAAGGGGAAGGAGGAGGTGGGAGGAGGTCATTATGCCTCGGTCAGGGCCCAGGGTGATGGTTAGGGACGATCAGCCTTAAATTGGCCTTTGATAGCCTCTGCTTGTTGGGGGAACCACCAGGCGGTTGTCTTGTAATGGTCGAGTCTTGATTTATAGGTCAGTGGGAAGGAGTTGGTCCAATATTCAAGAGGTGGTGGTGGTGAAGGTGGTGGTGGTGATGATGGTGATGATGATGATGATGATGATGCCGGGGTGAATTTATCTATAGCGGATCACTAACTTTTTTTTCTTAATTAGTTGCTCTACTCTCTCTCTTAACTGTTAGCGTCAGGAATACCAAAAATACGCATCATTAAGGTAATTTTTGTTTACCTTAAGTAAGAGTCTGTGTGTTTTTTAGACGCCATCTTGGATACCAACTTGTAGTGTATTGTAAATTAAATAATTGACTGGGTTATCGTAATGGAGGGGGGGTATGAGTTACGATCCTTTAAGATTACGACCCCAGGTGAGGCTACACAGGTACGATAACAATGGGGGCGACCTGTACCTGTACCTGTGGACGAGGATGACAGAAACCTGGTGAAATATTTATGGAATTGCATATTGATGAGACTGAAAGGTTTATTGAAATATTTTGCGTTTAATGAATGTATGTTTTTATTATTATTATTATTATTATTATTATTATTATTATTATTATTATTATTATTATTATTATTATTATTATTACAGTAGTCTCAACAAAGACTTTAATATGCATATCCACGTACAAACAATTACTATTACAACACCGCTGAGCAACAAACACAACCATTTTTTAACCTACATCAGTACATTATCTGTGTGTGTGTGTGTGTGTGTGTGTGTGTGTGTGCATCATACTGTGGCCTTACTAAAGTGAAATTCCTATACATTGGCTTCATCATAGGAGCTTCGAACCAGTATCCAAAGAGTTCAATAGGGGTTTGGAACATGTAGTCAAAGGGTTCATTCTCCACCCCACGTCGATGGGCCTCTCCACCCGCCCACTGTGTGTACCACTGAGGGTCTGGTCTCATCTGTGGTGCTTCGAGTGAACACAAGTGTCGAACCACCTGGCGTGATGAACTGCCGATATGTAAATTGTAAAAGGGAATCAATGCAAGAGTATTGTTAACTGACTCACTCGAACACCTGATGCTGGTGGTAGTGGTGATTGTGGTAATGGTGGTGGTTGTGGTAGTATTGGTAGTGGTAGTATTAATGGTGTTGGTAGTGGTGATTGTGGTAGTTTGGTGAAGGAGCCTTTCCAGTTTTCCCTAACCTAACCTAACATAATCTAACCTAACCTAACCTAACCTAACCAAACCTAACCTAACCTAACCAAACCTAACCTAACCTAACCTAACCTAACAATCTAGTTCAGAATGGAACGTAGAAGCAACTTAAGACATATTAGGATTTATTCCATTTGGTTATATTCGTGATGAAGGGATTTTTTTGCCTGGTGGGATTTTTTTTACCCGAACACTTGCTGAAATAAATCCGGGAGGTGAAGGGCTAATATGGATTTTCCTGGCAGCTGTGTGACTAAAAGGCAGTTATTTTTATACGTGTAAAATCCCTTGTAATCCTGATGTTTATTCATTGAAGTGTTTACCTAGGGCAGAGATCCATGTGAATGAGGGGATTACGGCAGCTGGGTTGGGAGTGGAGGTATGTATGGTGGGGGATTAGTTTGGGGGGGATTCGCTAACAATGGGATTAATTGTTTTGGTGGGGCTCGCTAATTGGTTTATGAGGGATTCGGTAGGGGATTCGTTTTGGGGGGGATTCGCTATGTGTGGGAGTCGTTAATTGGTGAGACTCGCTAGAATTTGGATCCGAAATATATAGTAACGCAATGTAACCTAACCTAACCTAACCTAACCTAACCTAACCTAACCTAACCTAACCTAACTTCGATTAGCGTAATCAAACCCAGCCTATCAGGGTCAGGTCCAGCAGGTGCGTGAAGAGTCGAGCCCAGCAGGTGTGTGGAGGGTACGCCATGTGGCACTGGTCAGCTGACAGGTCAATTACCTTCAGTGCCAGCCACAGGTCTCTCTCTCTCTCTCTCTCTCTCTCTCTCTCTCTCTCTCTCTCTCTCCCAGCTTTCTTCTCCATTTTGTCCACTGCCATTGGACATACGAATCCTTCCTTCCGTCCGTGCCTCCACCCAACCGTCGTGCGTCCGTCCGTCTGTCCGTGTCTTGTCCACGCGATAACTTAAACAAATACGGATGAATCTGAACCAAACTTAGTGTGAGGATACAACACAACGAGCTCTCAGAGTAGTTTGTTAATGAGAGTTGTATGTCTTTCCTCTAAAGAGTTGTGAGCTCTTGGACCTTGTGGTGGCTGGGTGGCTGAGTTATTAGGTCTTCTACTTTCACTCTCCCCTCTTTCCCCTCCTCCACCCCCTTCTAATTTCCGCTTCTTTCATCTTCTGTTTTCTTTCTCTTTTCATCTCTTCCTTCCCCTTCCCTAGGCTTCCTCTCCTTCTTCCTTCCCTAGCTATAAATTTCCTTTCGATTCCCCCCTCCCACCTCTCTCTCTCTCTCTCTTTTTTTTCTCTCCTATTCACTCCGACACGTCTGTTCTCTATCGTCTCTTCTTTATTGGATTACTTTTATTCCTCATTTGCCTTCCCTCCTCCTCCCCTGCCTCCCTCCTCCCCTCCCTCCCCTCCCTCCTCCCTCCCTCCCTCGTTTCCTGCCTCCACAGACTGCTGGTACGACCTCCTCTTATGTGCTCACTCTCTCTCTCTTCCTTTTTCTTTTATTTTCTTTTAATTTTGGGTTTTCTTTTCCTACATTCCTCTTCCTCCCTTTATCTCTCTCCTCTGCATTTCTTCATTCACCATCCCCCAACTCTGTCTCTCCTAATCCCCCACCACATCTTCGCCCTCCCCCTCCTCCTCTTCTTCCTATTCCTCCTCCTCCTCTTCTTCTTCTTCCTCCTCCTCCCTCCTCCTATTTTCCTCCACCTCCCTTTTCTTCCTCCTCCTCCTCCTCCTCCTCTCGTGTGAAGGTCTGGTACGTAACAATGATCATTGAAATAAGATCCAACGGGGGCGAATCTGTGTCCTGGCTCAGTGTTGCTCCTAAGGGTGGGGGGGAGGGAAGGTAGGTGGAGGGGGAGGAAGGGTTAGGAGGAATCATATGGAGGAGGGAGGATAGGAAGTAGGGGTAGGGAGGAGGGAGGATAGGGTAGGGGTAGGTGGTGGGAGGGGGAGGGAGGGAGTGTGGGACTACTTTTGCAGGACAACACACTCTGCACATACACACACACACACACACACACACACACACACACACACACACACACACACACACACACACACACACTTTTAATCTTCTCTTGAGTGATTCATTTTGATCCTCAGCTTTAACTATTTCAACAGGTTAGAGGAGTGTGTAAAGGAGGGGAGGAGGAAGAGAAGGAGAGAAGGAAGAGAGGAAGGATGGATAGGTTCCTACTCTCTTACTTCTCTCTTTTTGCTTCATTAGAGTAAAAGGAAGATCAGACTATAACTCTTACTCCTCTCTACTCTACTCTTCCTCGTTCCCTACTGGCTCCTCCCCACCTCTCTTCCTCCTCCCCTCGTTCCCTACTGGCTCCTCCCCACCTCTCCTCCTCCTCCTCCTCCTCCTCCTCCTCCTCCTCCTCCTCCTCCTCTCTCCTCCTCTCCCCTCCTTCCTCCTCCTCCTCCTCCTCCTTCACAAAAGAGGCTGGTTAAAACTATCTCTACCTCTTCCCTCCCATCTCTCCTCCCTCTCCTCCACCCTTCCCTTCCCCTTCCTCCCCCTTCCCCTTCCTCCCCCTCCCCTCTCCCCTCTTTTATGGGAGTAACAATTAAAGTTGGTAAGAGGAAAGCCAAGCCAAAACTTGTTAGAAAAGTAAGAGTGATGAAAGACCTGGTCTAATGTGTTACGCCACCAACGTATTAAAAGAGACATGGACGAGTTGTGGTGGTGAGGTTGTGGATGGTGTGGTGAGGGTTGTGGGTGGTGGTGTGGTGAGGTTGTGGTGTGGTGTGGTGAGGTTGTGGTGGTGGTGTGGTGAGGTTGTGATGGTGAGGGTTGTGGTGTGTGGTGTGGTGAGGTTGTGGTGGTGTGGTGGGGGTTGTGGTGGTGAGGGGTTGTGGTGGTGGGTGTGGTGAGGGTTGTGGTGGTGTGGTGAGGGTTGTGATGGTGAGGGGTTGTGGTGGTGTGGTGTGGTGAGGGTTATGGTGGTGATGGGTTGTGGTGGTGGGGTTTTGGTGGTTGGGGTTGTTGTGGTGAGGGTTGTGGATAGTGGGGTGATGAGGTGTGATGTGGTGTGAGGGTTGTGATGATGTGGTGAGGTGGCTGTGGTGGTGTGGGGTTTTGATAGTGTATAGAGCAGCTAGTTTATTGTGCACCCCATACTCATCCTGTGAGCTATAACGCAAAAAAGATTACAGATGAGAGGCCACAAAGGGTGATTATCATACTCCAGTGATTTTGATAGTATGGCAATGAATCTTACTCTAGTATGGCAATGAATCTTAAGAGTATTTACAGTATATTGTTTACATCAGTACAAAGACTCTTTCTAAGGTACTACTGTAGATGCAAGTGTGGATACAGCCTTAGTATATCAGCTATCTTACCATCAGAGATAAAGTGCTGTGCCATTGTATACACAGTGTGTAGACCTGTCCTGGTTCTAGTTTCTCACAGTTGAGGACGTCGTGTTGGAGTGTGTGGCTAGTGTTGGAGTGTGTGGCTATGTGTTTGGAGTGTGTGGCTAGTGTTGGAGTGTGTGGCTATGTGTTTGGGTGTGTGGCTATGTGTTTGGAGTGTGTGGCTAGTGTTGGAGTGTGGCTATGTGTTTGAGTGTGTGGCTATGTGTTTGGAGTGTGTGGCTGGTGTTGGAGTGTGTGGCTATGTGTTTGGAGTGTGTGGCTAGTGTTTGGGTGTGTGGCTGGTGTTGGAGTGTGTGGCTATGTGTTTGGAGTGTGTGGCTATGTGTTGGAGTGTGTGGCTAGTGTTGGTGTGTGTGGCTAGTGTTGGAGTGTGGCTAGTGTTGGAGTGTGTGGGTGGTGTTGGAGTGTGTGGCTAGTGTTGGTGTGTATGGCTAGTGTTGGAGTGTGTGGCTATGTGTTGGAGTGTGTGGCTATGTGTTGGAGTGTGTGGCTAGTGTTGGTGTGTATGGCTAGTGTTGGAGTGTGTGGCTAGTGTTGGAGTGTGTGGCTAGTGTTGGAGTGTGTGGCTAGTGTTAGAGTGTGTGGCTGGTGTTGGAGTGTGTGGCTATGTGTTTGGTTCACATCTGCCTGAGGGACACACTACTTAAAGGTGATTGGTGGTGGTGTGGTGGTGGTGGTGTGGTGGTGGTGGTAGGTAGTTTGGTGGTGAGGGGTTGTGAAGGTTTGGTATAGTGATGGTGTGGTGATGGTGATATTATTGGAGGTGTGGTATAGCTGTGGTGGTAGAGAGATGGTGATAGTGATGGTGGGAGTTAATGATGATATGGTAGAGGAGAGATGATATGGTGTTGACAGCAGAGAGTTGGTGATGGTGAGGTGGAGAAATATTGTGGTGGTATGGTGTAAGAAATTGTGGTGGTGGTGACGGGATGAATGTGGTATGAAGTGATGAAGGATTATGGTGATGTGGTGGTGATGACTGACTGTAATGATAGTGGTTTTGATGGTAGTGTTAAGTAATAATGGTGTAGATACTCTCTCTCTCTCTCTCTCTCTCTCACGTTCCTCCTTCTCTCTCTCTCTCTCTCTCTCTCTCTCTCTCACGCTCCTCCTTCTCTCTCTCTCTCTGTCTCTCTCACGTTCCACCTCTCTTCCTCCTTCTCCTCCTCCTCACACACAGAGGGAGGCAGGCCCGCGTTAATTAAATACTAGTAACATTAACTTCCGCGTCTCAGTCCCCTGCTATCTGGTAATCTGGAGAGAGAGAGAGAGAGAGAGAGAGAGAGAGAGAGAGAGAGAGGTGTTTAATAGATAGACAGATTGATAGATAGATAGTAAAATGGTCATTCAGGTTAGCAATGATTCAGCATGTATAGAAACAATGGAGGTAAACAATAAACAATGGAGGTAAACAATG